CTGTGGGTGTAAACTTACAGATTAAGGGGCGGTAATATTATAATGAGATCCCTTTGCAACGTCACCAAGGGAGCGAAATCAGACGCGCTTGTTTTTTCAGAGGCTTGCAGAAAAAGGCTTCCCAAAACAAAGTTACTGGGTTAATCTTTTTCACGTTTCCTTGGTTGGTAGATGCACTGGGGACCTGATTATAGCACTTAAAACCTGGAAAAGTCAGATTTTCATGATATGTCACTTAAAACATAAAATTACTTAAATTTAGATTCGATGGGTCTTAAATATTTTTGGTCACATTACTGCTAAAATATCTTCAGTCTGACGGACCTGTTTACAATAATTGGATTAAAACATGATAGTGACAAAAAATAACCTGCGATGCATCGAAACGTGAGAATGATTCTTCTAATTTTATTAGCCTACATTCAATGTAAACAGCACTTGATAATGGATAGTGTATTTCTGGTATCAAGGTCACGCTGTTGAGGCTCACTGTCTCTTTGTGAGAGACTTCAGAACAAATGAGCGTAACAACACACGAAGAAACTCAGAAGAAACACGTAACAGAGGTAAAAATTCAAAATGTTTAGTTTATTCATAACATGATATTGTTAAATAGCGTACCATGACAAGTGAGCTATTTTGCTGAATATTCTCACGACGCAAAAAAACAAAACAAAAAAACATTCAAAACGCCTACAGAGTGCACGCATTAGGTGAAATCTAGACTAGTGCGCGTGCGTATAAAATGCTTTCTTTCACTGCATAAGTCAGTCTATTAAAATACATTTTTTAGAATGATCACAAAATTCAAGAGATGGGGCAGAAAATGTATGTATTTATACCACTTCATATAGTTAATCAATTTCACACGAAGAGTGCCGCTTTTTTCTCCAAAAATTACCATAATTACAAAATATTATATTGATTTTTTACAACAGTTCAATAAACTAGAAGTTAATTAAAGGGGTGGTTCATTGCGATTTCACTTTTTTAACGTTTGTTAGTGTGTAATGTTGCTGTTTTAGCATAAACAATATCTGCAAAGTTACGAAGCTGAAAGTTCAATGCAAACGGAGATATCGTCGTTTAAAATTCTGGCAGTTTAATGCCTACAAAAACGTTTGCACTATTTCGCCAACAAAAATAATTCCAAACAAAGCCACAGCGCTGTTTTGCGTCTCTGAGCAACACGACGGCGTTTCGTTCCCTGATGAATCAACTGTTTAAATGATTCAGTTCAATCGCAATGACTCACTTATTAACAGTGAATTTCTGCCACCTGCTGGCGGATTTAATTTCACATTTAAATTATCTTTTTATTATTTAAATAATTTCAAATATCAGTATTCAACGTTTTATGTTTAATATGTGAAAACATTTATAATCTGTAAAAATAGGCCTTTGTAAAGGTAAATAACAATATGCAGATTTAAGTATGTAAAAGCTGATAGAACACTGATGAAAATTAATTAATGATGCTTCAGAATAAAGTGTTTACACCACCAAAAATCTTGGGGATGCGGTGCTTTTGTGGGGATATTTTGTATGGAATATTGTCTGCTGATATGAAAAATTCACTGTATATCGTAGTAATAAATATCATTTATTACAACGATTATATTTTGTTTTCTTTTTACGTTAAAAACACATTAAATATTACATATATGTTTGTAATATAATGTGTATTTCAATTACAGGTTTAGGTCTTAAAGGGATAGTTCACCCAAAAATTACAATTAGCCCATTATTTACTCACCCTCAAGCCATCCTAGGCGTACATGACTTCCTTCTTTCAGATGAATCCAATCGGAGTTATAATAAAAAATTGACTTTGATCTTCTAAGCTGTTTAATGGCAGTCAGCGGGTTTTGCAGTTCATCAGTCCAAAAGAAGTGAAATAAAGCGCATCCATCCATAATAAAAAGTTCCTCACACGGCTCCGGGGGGTGAACAAAGGCCTCCTGTAGCGAATCGATACGTTTTTGTAATAAAAATATCCATATTCAAAATGTAATAATCACTTTAATGTAGCTTGCACCAACAGTTGTACATGGAAGCAGCTCTGGGAGGATGATGTAAGATGTCGGCGTTGCGCATGCGAGACTTGTGAAAACCAACGTTTGTTTATAGGAGCAAAGGAAGCAAAGTTTCCTTACTTTAGCAAAGGAAAACCAGTCTCCTCTTGGCTTATATCGAAATCCTCCGACATTCTTCTTTACAA